AGAAAACCAGGTTGGTTCCCCAAACACACCTCCATTTAAAGCAGTGGTCTCCAAACTGTAGCCTGGGGGCTGGCTGTGGCCTTTTGCTTGTCTTTATCTGGCCCTTGCAGCACTATTCTTCCCACTGATATGAGGCACTATTTTGTCCACTGACATCAACAATGGGGCATCATTTCTCCCACTGACACCAACAATTTGGCAATATTCCTCTACCCAATATGTTTATGTTTACTCACACTGTTGCCTAGAAAATCTGCACTCCCGCTGGCCACAGTCCTGCCCCCCTAAAGTCTGAAGGACAATTAACTGGCCCTTTGTCTACAAAGTTTGGATACCACAGATTTAAAAGATCCGTCCACCCAAGGTGGACATTTTATTTCTAGGTGGGTTAAATTGCCCAATGGCATCTTAGACTCCAATAGTGAGAACTCCTTGCCAGAGTTCTCCACTTTTTACCTTCCTTCCCTACCATTACAAAGCCACCACATCTTACTCCTCCACCTGCATCCTCTGCAATGTAAAATGTATGAACACAGGATGCATCAAGGAGCAGAGAAGGAGGCCCATGCAATAGCTGTATTGGGCAATTCAGGAGAGCTTGTATTAAAGTCTCCAAGAGATCTCAAAAAGTTGGTGTGTGTATTAATGCACCCGAGTCCACCCAAAGATGAAATATTAGCTCAGGATAGACTCAGAACTTCTAATAATAGTTGTCAAAATCCTGTATATATGTCCTATACATATATGTGTTCTTTCACATACAAAAGTGGGTAACAAGTGTTTTTTTTTTCTTTTTTTGGAAGGAAGACAGGAGGAATAATTATAAAAACTGGCTGTAAAAATTATGAATATATAAAAGCTATCCCACATTCTCTGTAAAATACATTTTTCGTAGACTTGCTGTGCTCAGATTTGAGCACAAACCCCAGTTTAGCTTTGCTAAAGCCTTGGCGTTTCCTGTTGCCTCAGCTTACTCAGGCACAACTAGAGCTTAAAATGGATCTAGTGTCAAGGAAGCTAAGCGAGTCTGGGAGATCCAAGATGGCTAAGCAGGTCCAGGAGACTGAAGGAATCTGGAGATCTTGGTGGAGTGAGAGAATCCAGGATGCCAGGAGATACCCTATAGAGAGGTCAGAAGTTGCTACAGGCTGAGTGAACCAGGAAAGCCCATCTCTGCATGCCAACAGTGACTTTCCTCCAGCAAAGAATGTTGAAAGCTAAACCTTTGGAATCCTACATTGAGCGTTGTTTATCAGCTCTACTGAAACAGGCAACTGGTGATTTGGGAACCCCTGCTTGTGATACAAAAAAATCTACTCCCAGACACGCCCACTGCAAGCTCCTTGTTTCTTACATACAGGAAACCTCATGTGAAATAAATCTCAATGTGACAGTATTTAGAAGCTCTTTTTCTAGTTGCCGTTTTTAGAGGTATCCCTCCGTGTCTTCAGCCAAATAAATAATGTGCATATAAAAATGGGGCAGTCTGCTCACACAATGGATCTGGGACTTTAGGAGAATTGTAGTGTTTACACTTCTTATCCAAGAAGCTAAAATACTGTACAAGTGTTGTCTTTGTGTGCCGACCCTTGGCACGGGCATCTTTCACCCTCTATAACATAAGAGTAGATAGGGCTATCACTTCCCCGCTGTCAGAACGTCTGTTGGGTGAAGCGTCGCCCATTGCAAAACCATGCCAGACGTAAGAACTCAATGTCAGCCGCTGTTATACAGTTATCTTTGCAGCTGAGCAAGAATTTGAAGATAAGTCATATCATGGTGGGGGCAGTTTGTGTCCGTGGATTAGAAGGGCCTGAGCAACTCCAACTTTCTGAGAGCCATAGGAGAACATCAGTATATTGCTTTTACTGAGATGAAAGTTGAATTGTTAAGATGTGACCAGTGAAACAGATTCATTCCTTTGGCTGCTGGAACTGAAACAAAGAGGATGAAGCTCAGAAAGCTGAATTTAAGGATTTGTATGTGCCCTCCTGCAATGTCTCCTAATTATGTTCCTCATTGTTTGTGAAGGTTCTTATCCAGGTCATGGTACACCAAATAGGTAATCACATTCAGCTTAGATTAGCTTGTTCTGTAAATGTGAAGAGGTTTCATTATTCTTCCAAGTGGCTTCCTCAACTCAAGCTCATTCTGTAATGTTGACTAACTACAGCCTCATTCTTGAAAGTGTCTCTAGCCAATGCAAAGCAATGAATTTATACTCCATTAGATCCTTAAAAAAAAAAAAAAAAAAAAAAAAGCTAAACTCCAGGCTGGAGAAAGCGTAAAACTTGCAGTGGGCCTCCCTTCGCATTGCAAGGTCTAAAAGCTTGTTTTGTCCATGCCTCCTGGCCGCCTTCTTGCTGCACAACCATTTGCCCAAAGCTGCTCCTCTTCAACTGCAGCTTTCTGATGTTACCACGTATAATACAGGACCAGTGGTCCTGCCATGTACATGAGAACGCCAACGCCCTGCCCACATTTCTGGGAATGTTTGATAGCAGAGAGGAGAGTGTTGGATCCTGGGGGAGGAACGAAAAAGGCAAGGAGTTGCTTATACATCATCCCCTAGATCAGGGGTGCAACCTGCTGTTGCAGGATACAAGTTCATCCCCAAGTCATAGCTAGTCAATTTTGCAATGTCTCATGGGAAATGTTTCCAAATTGGCAGGTCCTACCCCTGCCCTAGACGAGTGTGGTTTCCAAACTGGGTCCGGGGCAGGGATGTGTGGCCCGTCTGGCACTTGCCTTTATCTGGCACTTGGGGCACTAGTCCACCAAATGATACCATCGATGGGGCACTAGTCCACCAAATGATACTAAATCACCATGGGGCACTAATCCACCAAATTATGCACTAGTTCACCAAATGACACATTGATGCGGCACTATTCCACCAAATGACACCATTGATGCGGCACTATTCTATTTACACCATACCAACAATGGGAAATTTTGATGAGGCCTTCCACAATGGGAAACAAACCAATGATGGGGCATTGTTTATGCCCACTGATGTCCAGGCATTCTCTGGTCACAGTCCAGCCCCTCAAAGTCTGAAGGACAATAAACTGGCTCTTTGCTTAGAAAGTTTGGAGACCCTTGCCAAAATATATCTAACCCTTGCAGTGTGGAGGGTATCCACATCAAGGGCTACATTTTCTCCAGCCTGGAGGTCAGCTGTAATAAAACAAAGAATATGCAAAAACTAACCAGCAATTTCAAATGAGTGATGCAATCTGTCCTCTACAGTACCTCCTCTCTCAATCTTTAAGCTGGTCATGCCCAGTTATTTCATTTGAATGTGCATAGAAAAATCATTCATCAGAACATTCTTTCTTGCCATCGTTGAGTCAACTCATTTTGTTTGAAAGCCCTAACAATTTTGTCTAGACCCGCTATTTGAATGTAATCCCAAAAGCATTAAAGAGCTTTCATTACAATATGTACAAATTGCATCCACATTTTTTCATTACGGGTCGAAAAGTGAACGTAGATTTGAACCCCCCTAACCATTAGAAAATCAAAGAAATTTTTGGAAAAGAAAAATGTTCAGAGTTCTACTGGTGTATGGCCAGCTTAAGAAATGCCATGGATATGTATCTATCTTCTTCCCAATTCTGGATAAGCATCCTCTGCCGATAATCCCCCCTTAGACTCCTTTCACATCTGGGCATTTGCGATCTTGGGCAGAATTGCGGCAATCCCAAAACACTCTGCAAAAAATGACGAATTGCACCACACCTGTTTGGGTGCCATTCATTTGCATCCAAACAAAGTTCTGCAATCGTGCCTAACCGCATTGCACACTGCTTGCCATTCAAATAAGCAGGAGCTTCTTTGGAGCGACAAGCTTCGCGCGATGTGGTTTGCCACTACTGAAGCTTGATTGATCACGACTGAACTGCACTGCGTTTTGGTACCATTGAAAATGAATGGCACCCGAACAGACGTAGTGCGATTTGTCATTTTTGCAGAGTGTTTTGGGATGGTGGGCAGAATTGCGGAGATTCTTCCCAGGGTCACGAATTCCCAGATGAGAACGGAGCCTTTAAAGGATCATACTCCCTCATGTAAGAGCACTAGCGATGCAACACTTTTGCAAGGACATGTGACATATGCCACAGCACAGTTCATGTGATCAGTACAGAATTAAAAAATTTAATTTTTTTGTAGATGGTGGGTTTTTGTAAGTTAAGTACAGTATATCATACTGTAAGGTGGGAGAATAATTATGCGTCTAAAGCCCAACTCCTGACGTTTTCTAGTTTTGGTCATCTGGAAGCATTACACCCTGTGTAATGTTTCCCTATTGTATCCAAACCCTAAATATAGGTTATAGCTGGAGTTGGGATTGAATTTTCTAGGAATAACTGATTGGGTACACAGTATTCTACAGCTTCATATATTATAGAAATATATACTATATCCTGTGTAAACTTACCGTCCTTGAAAGCTATGGATAGCGGGTGCCTAGAACCAGGCAGTGCACAGCCATCATTTTATGGGCTCAAAATTCAGGGCCACTTGGAAAGTAAGAGAGCAGGAAGACTCTGGCCTTTAGCTAGAGAAGCCTAAACTGTGCAGAACATAAATGGCACAGTAACAAATTAGCACCATAGAGTTGGTAGTATGTAAGCCCTGGAGCTGGCATAAACTTCATCTTTGACATACGAAAAAGTTGGGGTCTACTAAGAATATTGATTTAGGACCATTGCAGGAGGGCAACTAAGTTAGCGGAGGGATCAATACACTGGTTTAAAGAAAGTGACGTTGTTTTGTTTTTTTCCAAAATTCAGTCTTCAAGTACTATACAACTACATTTAACATTTTAGTCTTCCAAGAACAGTAGAAGCAGTCTTCTTTGTCTCACATTTTCTGCACCCCTATCATGTTCTCCAGACTTTATCTCCTTATTTTGGCCCTCATGTTCAACTACTCCAAACTAGTCCGTACCTCTGCTCACCCTTCTGCCTCCACACTCTGCCCCCCTGCCTGTGTTACACAGATGGGGCTTCCGTAATTCCTTGCCCCGTTCCTCCTCCTCCTGCCACTGCCCTGTGCCTCCTTTCGCAGTGCCCACGATGCCTCATGAAACTGTCTCTCCACATAAACTTCTTGGCGCACACTTCACACTCGTACGGTTTTACGCCTGTGTGCGTTTTCATGTGTTCCGTTAGGTGGTGTTTCATCTTGAACTTCTTTCCGCAGACAGGGCAGTCGAAGGGGCGCAGGTTGAGGTGCATATTGACGTGACGGTCACGCATGCTCTTGTGCGAGAATGCTTTCCCGCAGTGGCACAGGAATATTTTTCCGCCTTCTCCTTGGGTTGTCCCTGTGCCCCCTTGCCCAGCTGCTCCGTGCCCAGAAGGCAAGACCAGCAGCTGGTTTCCTTGCATGTCCCAGAGGCAGAAGTGGAGGACCCTGCGGATAGCCTGAACTGGCAGCTGTGCCTTCCTCATAAGGCATGCCATCTGAAGGCTCGCAGAAGTTCACCTGCTCTTCTGGAGCATTGAGAGTGCGGACATCACTTATACTCAAGTGTTCCTCTTCTTCATCCTCCTCCAGTTCTTCTTCATCTTCTTCCTCCTCACCTTCACATGTTAACACCAGGCCCTGGTGAGGCCGTTCCTTCTTCACATACACCCAATGCCTTTGTGGCACAATACTGGGCCTTCGGTAACTGGAACAACTTGCAACAGAAGCCTCTCCTCCTCCTTGGTCTTCCTCAACTCCAGCTTCCTCTGCAGTTTCACTTGCTACATCGCTTCTTCTTCTACTCCTCTCTGCACAAGGTTCCGGTGGTGCCTCCCGTGGGCTAAAGTAGTTGCTGCTACTGGGAGACTGGTTCTCGCTGGCTCTTCCAGAATGAGGTCTCTGTGGTGTTGGGACATTACTACTGCTTCCAGCTCCATCTACGCTACTGGAGCCACTGTTGGCTCGAGCCTCCTTCAAAAGCTCAGAGCACTTATCCACAACATGCCACATCTGGAGGACGCTGCCCACCGTCAGGTAATTGACAATCTCGTCGGCCAGCATGGTCAAGCGACCCGTGTAGGCAGCACACAACACGGCTTCAAAGGCCCCCGGGTCTACTACATTAGGCAGAACCACACAGCTCATTCCCTTAAGCAGCACCTGGTCATGGAAGTAGGGGGAAGAGGCAGCCAGTACCGCTCGGTGGGCACGAAAGACACGGCCTTGCGCATGAATAGAAACATCACAGAGCTTGCCTTCCATACGCTGCTGGTTGAGGCTTTCCAGGAGGGAGCTGGCCACATCAGGGAAGTCCACATGGATGAGGGGGCCAGTGGTTTCCATGATAGCGTAGGAAGAGTGGGGGGGGACCTAGAAGATCAAGAAAAGTTTATTGGCACGGATACAAACATATATAAAGTCCAAGACAATATTCCTAACCACAGATATAAGCTGTCACGAAATACAGATGTCCGTAAGTGGGACACTGGATCATCTAAGCAAAAGATAGTTCATACGAACACCTTTTCTGCTCCATGAGATTTCTCCAAACATGACTAGATGGTGTTGAAGATGTGAACAAGAGGACAGCACACAGCTTTATGTTGGTGCCAATGTGCAGAGTTACAAACCTTCTGGTGTGAGGTTCAGTGTATCGAATCTACAGTCTTCAGCAGGGGCGGACTGACAACTCATGGGTCCCCCGGGGAATAGGGGATCATGGGGCCCCTGTATCCTTGCCCAAACTCAAAAAAGCCTATGAAAAAGGTACCAGGGGCATCTCATGGGGCCCCTTACTGACCCCGGGCCCTCGGGCAGTGCCCGAGTTTCCATATGGTCAGTCCGCCCCTGGTCTTCAGTTACCCTATACATTATTCCCATTTTCTTTTACACCACACCTCCCTCCCCAAAGAAACAATACTTTCAATCTTTAGCCAGGTATTTAATCAACACAGTCAAGATGAGCATAGCACTTCATTGAAGTCCAAACACATTCCTATCTTGCAGGAATGGTAAAAAAAAAATTAGAATAGATGAAATGGAGGAATGATGTTCATGTAACACGGGATTGACTTCTCAAATACAACCTTACTTGGTTCTGTTGGATACACCACAAAGCAACAATGAAAGAAAATAATCAAAAGGATAATGTCCATTCCCACTTCAGAGACCTACTGTGCATTCTTCAATTGTCTCATACAAGGAAATAAAACAAGGTGAGTACAATTTTTGAGTTATGGAACAGGGGGGCAATAGCAGGGGTCCAGCCTGCCCAGGAGTAGAGAGAGATTCCCTAGTGTGTGAGAACCCTATATCTTTACCATACCCTTCCCCTTACTTTCCTCTTAGGCTCCATTCACATTACCGTGGCTCCAAAATCGCCCAATTTCCAGTGCGACTTCGGAGCGTGACTTGACTTTTGGTGTGTGACTTTGTTCTTACGTTTCCATTCATTGTACCAAAGTTGCATAAAAATAGTGCAGGAACTGACTTGAAGTCGCACATATTTGAATGGTACTCATTGGGAAACATGGGTTGCGACAAATATCAATGGGCTCTTATATCCCTCCCTAGCCATTATGTCTTCTACACTGATCCTTTTCTGACCTTCTCCTCAACTCGTCCCTCTTCTCCTATGATCTTTCCCCTCAACCCCTATGACTTTCGTAGGAACTTTCTTTTTTCCCATAATACCGTCTTCCAAGAGGGGTTCGGTGACCCACTATAATTTTCAAGTTTTCCTTGCTGATCAGCTAGCTTGTTTGCTAAAGCTGGCCACAGACGGAGCGATTTCCTTTCTTGCAACCATGAGTTGCAGAAATGTAAAACCTTATAGGTTGGTTGTACTTAAGTTGATCAATCAACTTGGGTACATTTAGCCTGCCCATATATTTTTGTTTATCTCAGCCGGTCCTTGCACAACCAGCCGAGACTCAAACCGTCTGTGGCTTAGGGGCAGGCAGCCCATTTTCATTAACAGGAAACAAATCTACAGAAACACAAGGTTTCCCACACAGGGGTTCTTCTCCAGCAATATTAAGCTACCTGGCTCTTAAGGCTCACTCAGCCTTGGTTGCAGTCCCTCACTGCACAGGCCCACTCCTAGCCTGTAGGTATGGGTTCTCCTGACACCCCAGGCTCTCTCACTCCTCTGAGACTCACAGATTCCTCTGGTCCCCTGAACCATCCCCCAGTTTCCTCAACTCTAGTCCCCAAGACTCTCTCAGTTAGCCCAACTCCCTCAGTCCAATGACCTGGAACCTCTCCCACATAGAGCCCTGTCTCGAGTAGACTACCCTGGTTTCTAGACAAACACACACCTGTCTTCCGATAGGCGCACGCCTCTCTTTTGGCTGTAGCACCTCCAACGGCCCTGAGCTCTCCTCCTGGCTGGTTCATAATGACCCTGCACACCCATGTACTGACACAGGCCGCAGGTGGCCAACAAAGCCCAGACACAGGGTTGAAGGTTCCATCCCACCCAAGACACTTTGGAACCTTCAAGCTCCAGGCTTCCAATCTGGAAGTACAAATACCAGAGAAAAACTCAATACATGATTTTCTCAGCGCATAAAACATACTCTGGAGACTCTCAAACTGTAAACTTGAGAGTCCGGTGTCCTCTTCCACACCATTTTCCGAGTGGCAGGGCCTCACTCTGTCACAGTGGTATGATATTATTAGGCAATGTATAAACGTTTAAAATCAGGGGTAGGCAACCTTTCAGAGGCTGAGATCCACCTGGACTATATGGAGGAAAGCAAAGATCCCAGTGTTGGGTATGAAGCAGTGCCCTTTAAAAAAATAAATACAAGCTCCCAATATAAAGACGACACGAAGAACACATAATGTGTCACAGTAGTGTCCAAATGTGGAGTCCTCTGCCCCTTCACATAACCCCCCCCCCCCCCCACTCCAATCCCCCCACAGCAGTGTCCTGTACCCCCCACAGCAGTGTCCTGTACCCCCCCCCCTCCTCCCACAGCACCCCAATGCTGTGTCCTCTGCCCCCTTCAGATCATCCCCCCCACTGTAAAGTCCTCTGCCCCTTTACATCACCCCCCCCCCCCCACTGTAGTGTTCTCTGCTCCCTTCATATCACTCCCCCCCTCCCGCTGTAGTGTCCTCTGCCCCCTCCTCCCACAGCAGTGTCCTGTACCCCCCCTCCCCCCCTGCAATGCTGTGTCCTCTGCCCCTTCACATCACATAACCCCCCCACCCACTGCAATGTCCTCTGCCCCCTTCATATCACTACCCCACCCCCCCTCCTCCCACAGCAGTGTCCTGTACCACCCAATGCTGTGTCCTCTGCTCTCTTCACACCACCCCCTCCACTGTAGTGTCCCCTGCCCCCTTCACACTCCCCCACTGTAATGTCCCCTTCACCCCCTCCCCACAGTAGTGTCCTCTGCTCCCTTCACACTCCCCCACTGTAATGTCCCCTTCACCCCCCTCCCCACTGTAGTGTCCTCTGCCCCCCCCTTCCCCCACAGCAGTGTTTGTACCCCCCAATGTTGTGTCCTCTGCCCACTTCAACCCCCCCCCCCATTGTAGTGTCCAGTACACCCCCCCCTCCCATCTAAAAGCAGTGTCCTCTGCCCACTTCACATCACACCCCCCCCCATTGCTTTGTCCTGTATCCCCCCACCCTTCACATCACCCTCATAGGTACACATTCCATTTACACGGTCATCCAAATTTGGACAGTTCAAACCACATCCAGAAATGCGCATATTTGAACCGGGGCTAGAAATGCATAGTAATCAGAGAATCAATTACAGCACGCTTCCAAGGCAGGAGAAAAAATAAAGGTTCCTATTCAATCAGAAAATGTACAGGATGAGCACCCACGTGGGGCCTGCACTCTGGGTCTATGGAGACAAATGACACCTTCCAATAGATCACAATGGTTTGCCCACATCAACAAACCAATGCCTTATGGCCTCCATTTATCAGCAGCTGACCAATCAGATGCCATCTAGCCTGAACTGTCATCGCTGCAAGGAGAGGAAAGAAAGCAGCAGGGGATTTCAAATCCTCACCACTTTCTCTCCTTCCCTACCCTTAGACTCAGCGTGGGATGCCTGCAGGGAGGTTTCCCGCACCGTTCCTGTGTAAGCCCGGCCTATGACAAGCCTTGGTTCACATAGGAGCAGTGGGGAGAACGCTTGCGATTTGGACAAGAATAGCATTCCGGTTCAAATCGCATGCTAATCTTGGCGGTCTAATATGCGTTAATGGACGCAATGTATCGGTTAAGGTATTGGGAGTATTTTCTCAAGTATTCATG